GCGAGGAGGCGGCACCGGTGGCGTCCGGCAGGCGGCGCGGCAGGCGAGGAGGCGGCAGCGGTGGCGTCCGGCAGGCGCGGCTGCAGGCGGCAGCGGCGGCGCGGCACGCAAGGAGGCACGCGCGTGGAACCGCCTGCGTGCATGCGCGCCTCGGGCGCCGTGATTGGCGGCCGACACGCCACACGACGGGTGTGGGATTGCGTGGGGCCGGCGGGCGTGGGGGTGGGGCCGGCGCGGCGCCACCGACAACGCGTTGACTGCGAGCGGCCGCTTTAATTTTTTTCCCTCCGGGGCGGGCGGCCGGCCTGTATTCATATACGTATACCTCCGTCTGTTTTTTTTTCGGGCGGGCGGGCCTGCGGGGCAATCTTATGCCCATCCTACCCTTTGTTATGAAGGGGTATTGGGCAATCTCAGCCCTCCTTGTGTTTACAGGGGGTCTACCGAAGCAGAAGTGAGACTAGATTATTCTAAACTAGTCTGGAAGCCTAGACAAATGGGGGAGGCGGCTTACGGGAGAAGCCACCAAATTAATTGGTCCAAAGCAGACCATAAAATCCCAGAGAATAAGTTGTAGTCATTTCTGTTGCTCGGCGCCCGTGCTTGGAGGTGCAGAGAGAAGAAAAACGGTTAAACTAATGAGCAAAATATAGCAAATATAGATATGCATATCTATTTTTTTTGCATTTAATCAATTGAGGTGATACGATCAGAGAGAGAGAGAATGCCCAGCCTCCGCATAGCACGGTCACTCAGCCAACACGTCCAAACACGCAACCAATTTTTGTTGACTTCCTCTCGTTTTCCTCCCCTAACCCTATGTGGTTAGGACAAACTCTCACGTCCAAACTTCACCGGTGAGTCTATGGATTTGCCTTCCCTCTGCCTGCCACTTCAGCGGCAAGTGACGAGGAGGGGTCTCTCCATGCCACCGTTCTGGTTAGTAGTTTAGGCTAGGGTTTTTAGTCCTTATAGGTGTTGCACTTGGATGGATGGAAGCGCTTCTTCTTCGAGATTGTCTTTTAGGATCGAGTTCTCCTCGAGTTCATCTGTATGAACGTAATCGATGGAGCTCTGGCGTTGATATCTGCCGCCTCCTTGGGGCGGTGAGATTAGGATTTCTCGTCATGTGACGAGATTTGGCATCAGGTGCTTCAGATCTATGTAAGGGTTCAACGACGACGACATTGTTCCTTTAAGTCCTTGTAGCTTGCTACGACTTAGGTTCATACGTTGATGACCGATACATGCATTGTTGGGTTACCTATGTCTGTCCCTGTACGACTGTGACAGCTTGGTCTACAACTAATCATGTCGACCCGGGTTTTCTGTCATATGGATGCTAGCAACATAATTATATACATGAGCCAAAAGACGCAAATGGTCTTGGCCAAGGTAAGGTAGCAGCCGTGGGATACCGTGCGTAAGGCCGCAAAGCGGTATGATGTGTTACATGCTAGATCTACGTGACCTAGGATCGAGTCCCGACAACTTTGGTTATGATTCCAGGGCGCTGGTATTTAGGGCTACGTGCACGAAGACTTCCTGGCTGTCATCGATAAGGTCAAGCCGGCTCTGATAGGGGGGCGGCAATAACGGTGCGTCGACAACTCGTTCTAGCGACAGTAGTGGTCGCTCCATGGTCTCAAAATCTTAAATTTTATTATGTTTGAGATGCTTTATACTTTCAATAAATTTTTATAATAGATATGCTATTTTTCAAAAAAACACGTCTAAACACAACAATAAATATATTGGTTTACAATTATAAAACAAATGTCCAGCGGCCACATGAGGCGAGGTGGTTTGCAACCCAAGCCCCCAATCATGCAAATGCAGCGACAACCGCTGATCAATGGATTCGGATGAGATAACATCGATGTCCATACCCACCCGCAACAGTAGCGGCGTGCGATTCTCGGCAATCTTCACAACTACCAAGGGCCAAGATCAAGCACCCAATGTCCACCACGATGAGATTACCAGGCCACCTATCCAAGGGCATCTCCATGGCGGCGACCCATGACCAACTGCCGTCGTCCCGACATAGCCTCGTGGGCAGGAACCCCTATTGGCTCCCCCTCGAGGCACCACGCTGCCGCCACCGCAAGGTAGTCGCCCAAGGTTAGTCGCGGGACCTACTCGTCAGAGGGCATGGTCATGTCGTCCATCGTATCACTCACTCATACTCTATTCTCCCCGCAGAACATTTATATGGCATATTAATGTACAATATTTTTATAACGGACCATGCTAAGGTTGCGCATTTCAAAAATTTTTTTTGGTCAAAAGCTTTTTCACTTGTTAGCTTTTTCGGGCTTAATGATTGGTCAATGGTGGTTTTATTAATTTAGAAAATTAGAGAGAAAATATATGCTAGTATGCACCTCCGCTTCCAGTAATTGCAAAGCGTTGCCCCCTGGCACCAAGAGGGGAACGTCGGTCGGAGGGGAGCAGCAGTGATGGCCGGAGCCGAGGAAGACGAAATGGCTCCTCCTCCTCCTCCTCCTCCTGTAGATCCACAAGTGAGTACACTATCATCCTCTCTCCTAGGTTTTCCCATCGATCTGAGGAATCCCTTTCTCGGTTAACCTGCGGTTCCTCCCTCGCTCCCTCCCTGCAGCAACCCATGGAAGCGGGGCCGGCGGCCAAGCGGAGCAGGTCGGAGCACCACCACGGCGCCGGCGACGCGCCGTCCTTCAAGATGGAGGACCTGCCCGTGGTAATTTCCATTACGTCTCCTCTTTTTCATCTTCTAGATATGCTGCCTATCCGTGTGTTCTCCAAGGACCACAGATCTGGAATTTTGGGACATAAATGACTGGTGTTTTGCAGCGTGGGGCTTCCACTGTTTTAGGGCATCTTTCTTAACTTGTTTTCGGCGTCAATAAGACATTAACTTGCCTGAAAGGATCATGAGGGACCAAGTGAAACTGCAGCAAAAAATAAATAAATAAATTGCAGTTTCTTTCAGGTTTCTATATATGCACTTTCAGGTCACTGTGTCTACCTGTTATAATGTCAGTTCTAATCAAAATTCAACCGTCCTGAAAATACATATCCTTTCTTGTCCCAGGATGTTCAAGCTGTTATAATGTCGCTTCTGCCACTGAAAATGGCTGTGAGGACAAGCATTGTTTCAAAAAATTGGAGAATGCTCTGGACATTCTGCTGTAATTTATCTTTTAAAGGCCCACGTTATCTGTGTGAGAATGATACCAAAATACAACAAGCGAAATGCATTGAGACAGTAAATTGTGTTATTCAGCAGCATAGTCAGATAGGGATCAATAAGTTCAGCATCAAATGTGGCCTGTTCGAGGAGGACTCTGTTCATCTCGGCAGGTGGATTCGGTTTGCCGCCTCATCGAAGGCAAAGATAATACATCTTGATCTGAGGTTCAAGGATGTGTTTGAAGAAGTAAACCACTTGCATCTTGAGGCCTTATTAGATGCTCAAGGTAGCTCATTTGTACGGTCCTTGTTTCTTGGAGGTGTTGTTATAAAGCCACACTCAGCAATATGTGGCTTTACAATACTCAGAAGGCTTGTTCTGCAATCAGTCACGATATCCGGAGACTTTACAGGCTTTTTGGCAAATTGTGCAGCACTTGAGGACCTAGAGATGATCGAGTGCTCCGGTTTAACTGATTTAATCATACCACAGCAACTTGATAAACTCCAGCATTTGCTAATTGATGGAACGGAAGTGGAGATGGTCGAGTTTTATGCTGCAGATCTTTCTCATTTTGAGTACAAAGGGCAAGTGGTCCCCATAGTGCATCATGGTTGCTCAAAATTAGAGAAGGCAACAATAATGTTTAGTGGCAAGAAAGGACTGGCCAAGGCATTCACTGCAGTTCCAAGCATTTTGCCAGTGAAGATATTAAATGTGCAATCTGTTGCTCTATCAAAATATTCACAGGTTAGTTGGATTTTTTTATCTTATCTCACGGTTCTTGAAAATTATTGTTGCTGTCAACGTCATCTTATTTGCCCGGGTAATGTTTCAGTTGCAGAAACTGCCAACAAGACCTGACGGAATGTTTATGCATTTGAGGCACATGACTTGTAGAATAATTGTCCATTCAAGACCACAAGAAGCCAATTACGACATTGAAGTTCTTCAAATGGCCTATTGTTTGGATGCTGCACCCCAACTGGAGACATTGCAATTGAATGTGAGTGTCGTTTTATTTATTAAGAAATATTAATATTCGGACCTTGAAGAAAGAACTGTACTTTGATTAGTTTGAAAAAATGATCGCAAGCTTCCAATGCAGATGTTCTATATGTCATCCAGTGGTGTGTGCAGTGCTGAGGTGGTGGGTATGCGCCGGCATGATCATCTCAAGACGGTCTTCATGAGTGGATTTCGCTGTTACAAGGCTCAGATTAAGCTGGCGTGTTGTATCTTGGAAAATGCTTCTGTTCTTGAGAAACTGACAATAGAACCAAGGATCACAGGCGTAAGATATCTGGATGATAATACCGACCTGCACAAAATTTTACCGGGGGTCTGTGAGTGGGCGCAACTTACCTCCGAGCGTTTCGATAAGGTGATCAGTGTCTCAGGCGCTCCCCTTCACAGTGAGTAAACCAATCCTTTTCCCATTTGTGTACTATCAAGTAATCCTTTTCCCATTTGTGTACTATCATATTTCAGTGTAGCTGGGCGAATTTTATTCGTTCATGTAATGCTTCTGTAGTGACTGTTTTGGTTACTATTCGTGGCTTTCCGCCTTTGCCTCTCTTTTATTAGAGAGAAAAAAGAAAAAAGAATCTATGTGTGTCCAATGCATCTGTTCCTTTTCCTCACTTTCTCATCACGCCTTGCTTCAACCCGTGAGAGGATTATCTGGTGTGCTAGTATTGGAGCTACTGGAAGAACCCAAGTCGTGAAAATTCAAACAAACTTGCATCTGTATATGTTCATGTACATTTGCAAACTCTTGAAAGAAGTAAAGCTGTTATGGCGACTGACTGGTAACAAAATTTATACCATAAAACCAATGTATCGTTGGCTTTCCATCAGGGAGTTCAAACCCCATATTCGGTCAAACTCTGGAAGGTAAAATTTCTTTGGAGGATCAGGATTTTTACATGGCAGTGGCAGGTTCTCCATCATAGAGACCCCATGAGAGACCAAATACTTCGTAGACATGGGCCTACAGATGAAACATGACGCTGTGCGGGGAAACTGAAACAACTGATCATCTTTTCTTTTGCTGTCCCATTGCTATTTTTTGTCCTGTCTTTCATTCCGGACTTTTTGGGTTGGAATTGACGCCCTTTGTCAGTCCAAGATATGATTACTTGGCTGAAATATGATGCGACTGGGAGCACCGATTATCTATCTTTGATTTGGGATTACTTCTATTTAGTGGCTCTCTGGGACATCTGAAATAATGTTATCTTTTAGCGCAAGGCTATCAAGCATCCAACCGACACTCTCTTTTGCGTATTGCTTTTCCTGCAGCAATGGATGCTTCTTCGGCCCAGCAAGACGAAGGATCTCTTCAGCACCACCACTAGCGAGTGCCGTCATCGCCTCTGGATTATTAGGAGTAGATCTTTGTGGGATGCTATCTTGCTCAAGTTTCTGTAATCCCCTGGCGTCTGTTTTACCTCTCACTGTATCCTGATCCTAGAGGGAATTGGTTCTCTGTTAGGGAGTTTTGCACTGTGTTATCTTAACCGTGGTTATTCCTATATGTAACTTTCTTTTTTGAGAAACTATTAATATCGTATTTGTATCCCCAGTAAACTTTGTTACCTTTTGTTATCTGAACTTTGTTATTCCTGCTCGTCTAAGAAAGGACGAATATCCATTTGAAGTATATATATGCGGGTATCGAATCTTTGAGCTGTACAAAACATGTACTTAGTGCGCTTTGGCATTGCAATGAACTCAGTGGTTTGTTCGAGTGAATATGAACAGAAATCGTGGGGTTGCCCTGCAACAAATGTCGCTGATCACCCGGTTCACCCCGTCTACAACACCTGAAAGATGAGGATGATGAGAGTGATAACAGCTTCGCCAGATCTGCGTCCCCAAATCAGAACTAGGTAGGAAGTGCGGCTTACCGCACCCGGCAGCACCGCTGCCGGGTACAGTCACATCCAATTCGATAATAGTCATAGTAATTGGAGGATTGCAAATATAAAAGCTTATTGTTCAAGCATGCAAACAAAGTATTTACGGTTGCGAAAAGAAATTAATGTCATTGCCAAAAACGTATCAGTCCAATGCAGCAATTTTACCGAGCATTTCAGCCAAGCAATGCCAAAGGCAAGGCAACCAGATATACCAAAAGCATGGGAGCATTTTTCTTCCAAAAGTAAGCCAAGACGGATCATCACTAAGTTTAGAGCAAATATACAAAGGCGTTTGGGCAATGACATTTAATTAGAAGATGCAACATTTCCAGAGTTTCTTAAATAATTTGAACAATGAAACATAAGTTTCAAGAAAAAGATTGACATGGAACTGGGCTTTGGAATGCTCTGAAGGATAAACATTTAATCAACATATATGAACCGTCCAGATCGACATATACTGACTTTTCTCTTCTTAAACATATGTGATCTGCTATGCACCATAATCTCCAACAGAACTTCGACATATATAAACATGTCTTGCTTCAGTAAACAGATTAAGTAGCCTGCTTGGATATTCATACCTGCAACTTGGGATCTGCATGGCAACACAAAAAAACACAAGAAAATACAGGTAATGAGAACATTAATCATGGGTACGCTACTGAATGAGAATATTAATATATTTGCTTTATTTTTTTGTTCTGTTTTCTTGGTCCATGTAAAAAGCGGTGGCTTGAATATGTGTGACAACACAGAAGACACAAGCAAATAGAGGCAATGACCTCCCCAGAGGGACTCAGAGTATCAAGCAGATCTCTTAGTCACTCTTCTCTATATAGTAATCAAAGAAAGAAAATTATATTCTTGGAATTAAACCTACTGAAAGAACCAGGGAGCAAAATGAAATGTTTGTAGCTTGCGGATTTAGCTATCTAATATAACATACATTGCACTAAACTAAATATATGCCTATAGCTACATAGTTCTAAACCAAATGATATCATATAACCAAAGTTCTCGTGACTATTCTAAATTGTCTTGTTATCAAGGATGGTCAAAGAATACTATGTTATGGGCATGTAAGATGTACGAGTTTGCAACACAATTTAGAGAGAGGGAGAGAGTGAAAAGCGACATCACACCAGTTGAATGGGACACGAGGTGAGGTAGGAAGGAGCAGCGCCCGTTAGGCCGGGCTTGATCCTGCTCAGTAGAGGGATGGAGACATTAGAGCTCACGGATTTAGACAGCAAACGGTTGCACTCCGGTGCGGAGAGGCAGACCACAACTCAGACCTGCCTTGTGATGCATCAGTGTTTTACCCCGGTGCCACTGCTCTGTATTGGGAGGGGGTCGCGTGCCCTTTCCTAGAGAAACTTTCCTCCATCACTGCCTTGTGATGGTTCTAATACTTAGTGATATGACCTATCTCCACAGCTCATTAGATAATACCCCATTGTGTGCTTGTAGTGCTTAAGCTTGTCACCACGGAAGGCAGTGCCTCTTATTGCATCTATCAAATGATATAAATCTATTGCATGCATTATAGAAAAAATAGAATCAAATAAAGCATCAAAATGAATGCACCAGAGAGGAACAAAACACACACCACAATAGGACAGAAAACATATGTTGTAGGCCTGGGGTGGGGTTATGAAACATTATGTTTAGGCCTAGGTTGGGGAAAGGCAAGGCAAGAATGATCACCTCAGATGGAAAAGTGTAGCAAGGCTTCCAATTATTGGATAGGCAAAAGATATTGTGTAACTGCAGTGATAGATACAAATCAAGGCCGGCGAAATCAAGGGGTCGCAAATATAATCGCAAACAAAAAATTACATTCCAGCGTGTATTCTTACCAGCATCTGATCTTTATATTATCTTCATGCGACAAAGAACCAGAAACCAGAATTTAGTAACAACGGCAAATACACAACTATAATCTATTAGTATTAGGAAAGGGTGTCATCCATCATTATCATTAGCCACCAATACCAACCACCAAATATATCTATACCTATTATGATCTTTGCTTTGTCACATATAAAATAATTCTACACTTGGAACATGTCCATATCTTCTCATCTATTTTTTATGCCAGTACATCGGTTCTGAATCCATTCGACAATAATCAATACTTAGATTGCATAAGACCTAAGTAAAGAAAATTAGAGAGGAGAGGAGGTAAAATCAGTTACCTGAATACCCAAAAAACCTGTAGCCAACTGAACCTTTGCCTGCTGGAAATGCAAGGCAGCAATCCACACCCAGATTTGTACCTGCAAAACAAAGCTCAAGTATTTTGTTTTAAAAAAGAAACATGAAGCATCTCGCACAAGTTTCCAATTACCCATGATGAAGCCTTAATAAACTAAAACAACTCAACGTATTATTATCAAAGTTTTTGATTTTTTTAGGTAATCAAAGTTTTAGACATCCGGCTATACCACCAATGTAGCCCCGCTATAGCGGTTTGAGCAGGATGACATTCATGCACATATATCAACTAAAGTTATGAAATAGTCGATTATAGCCTTGGTGTGGCTAATTTTGAAGACCGTCGCTATTTGGCGTAGCCTGCTATTTAAAACAATAATAATTATGTGAAAAATCGTAGGTCACCCTATAATAAAAACATATCAGTAAAATAAACAAAAATGTAATAAAATGCAATGAACATATTTGTTATCCTTTGTATCAATCACGAGTAGACCGACTATGTTTGAGAGATATTAAAAAAACTATCCTGGTTCTCTTGATCAAAGCCTGGCGAAGCTAGGCCAGGCAGGCTATGTTGGTCTTTTTTTTATCGCTTCATGAGCTGAGTCGACATGGAAGCGAACAGTTGTTTAGGATGCAAAAGGATTTTGTCTAATCTAAGGTGAATTTTTTATTGAAAGATGCTCAAAAGCAATTAGATTTAGGCACCAGTTTCCTCCCATATTTTTTAGCGTCAGGTTGGGAAACTTCGCCAAGAGCTTTCAGGACTTACTTTTCTTCGGATGAGAAAAAAGGAAAACTGTGGAAAATGCAAGTATTTGGTGCAAAACGTTATATCACAGAATACAGAAACTTCAGGTGTCTATAAATTAATGTGCTTTTTAAAAACAAAACATATTAGCTATTGATCATAATTTGATAGGAAGCAAACAGGCTGCTTTCTTCACAATCTTCCAAAGAATGGCATCTTTTTCCTCAGAAAAAAGGAAGGGAAGACTGGACTTGTTATTTTTCCTGCTCTAAAATAACTGATAGTAATATTCCACAATACAGATGAACTCAACTGACCAAGATCACACATTTTGACATAAATGATAGTATGTACACCAGAATTTCAATAAAACAGCAGATGTTTCTTCATGCACTTTCTCTTGAACTCACACATGTCTTCTCTTTTTATACCATCAGTGCTCCGAGGAACTTGAGCCATTAGATTATTGAGGCCTAGGCAGACGTATGTGCACGACCTAAATGAGAGAACAACAGGCCTAGAGAAGTATGAGGAGCCAATGCACCACCTAGATCGATGGTGCCAAAGTGTTTGAGAAGCCTCGTGATCAGCACACCGGCAACGTACGATATCCCGGACAAGCTCACGGCGATGGTCAGGTAGTAAATTAGAGTCTTGAAGTATGTCATGGCTCTTCTGTGGACATGCATGTCCCGAGCGCAAGCAGCGCGATGCAGGCGAGCAAAGCACCGGCGACGTTCATCATCTTGTTCTCCCCGTCATTGCTCTTGTGGAACGACAACCCGCAGAGCACTGGTGGAAGTGGCCCGAACACCATGTGTGACGGTAGTGCTAGAACCATGTGGAGCCGGGCTTTCGACCACCTCCTGAGCTTGAGCCAATAGTGGACGACCTTCTCATTTTTTCCTCGTTCATGTCTCGGATATCTCTCAGATCAGCAATCTGGTATCCACAAGAAAATGATATGTTAGTTTTTGGAGTTTTGGGTGTGAGTTTTTTGTAATGTTCAGTAAAATAATATGAAAATTCAGACAGGAGAGAAGTTTGTTACATTCTGAAAAATGAGAGTCAGTCCACCAATAAGGTTGGCTATGCCCAAGATGAAAGTAACTGACATGTTTTGGCGCCGCTTGATGCTGTTGTTCAAACACGAAGAGGCTGGTGACTGACTCCACTAAGCCTCAATACACTGTGGCTTTTAGTATATCACAATCATCCCTCTGTTTTTGCCTAGGAGCAGACGGATTCGAATCTTCAGAGACTGACAACACTACATCTGTTGTTTGAGGAATCCGAGAATTGGGTATGTCGCCCCTTCGAATGATACCTGGTATAGGGAAAAAAACTCGGTGATTAGATATACAAGATACATTTAGACGACACAGAAAAGAGAGGCAGCAAGTTTCACAGAATTGGTTGCTCTCGGAGATTTGTTTGTTCAGTACATGCATGTCAAACTTATCTTGATTAACTTACTGATGATGGGCATTATGGAACTGTGGAATAATAAATCTAAAAGGAAAATACTTTGGCCTGGTATGATATGTGTCACAGTTGGGCTGAAAAATGAGCCATTCTCTGCAATACCGTGAGCATCTGAGCAAATGAAGTTACTGTCAGACTGCATCTCTGAATAACAGTAAGTAGCTCATGCATGCATGCTGATCACTTAATCGGATCTACATTTCTTTGCCTACTTTGGCAGTGTACAGCTAAATGCCTGAAGCTACCACGACACAGTCAACAAACAGAACTCGCAAGTACTTTTTCTACAGTTAATTAGCAGATGGTTCTGAATACAAAATTCAGGTAACGGTGAATAATAGTAAGTAGCTCATGCATGCATGCTGATCACTTAATCGGACCTAAATTTCTTTGCCTACTTTGGCAGTGTACACCTAAATGCCTGAAGCTACCACGACACAGTTAACAAACAAAACTCACAAGTACTTTTTCTACACTTAATTAGCAGATGGTTCTGAATACGAAATTCAGGAAACGGTGCAAATAGGATCTAAAATTCAGGAAACGGTGCAAATAGGATCTAAAATTCAGGAAAGTAGTCAAAATATTTATGTAGCAAATTGTACAAGTAGCAGGAAGAAACAAATTAAATGTAAATAAAGAATAGCTTACCTTGAGTATAGGATTTTTCCTAAGAAGGCAGGCGAGATAAACACGGTATGTATACTCAGGAGCCGCCTTTGATGAATTAACAACCTAGCAACAACAGCAAAAGAACACATTGGATTCACAAATCATCTATTCTAGCAAGCCATGAATCCAACAGTTGAATGATCTCCTGAGGATAATGACAACAACAGCAAAAGCACGCATTAGAATCGCACACCACAAACTGATACATAGGGCTAATTAGTTTACCCAATCCAATAAACTCACGTAAGTGTCAAAAAAAAATCTGCTTCTCAGATAGTAGTGTCCTATGTTTTTAAGGCGTCCGTAAGGCGACGCCCCCCCCCCCCCGCTCTTTGCAAATATGCCCGCTTTAGGCGCCTAGGCGTCGAGGCGCCCCCCCCAGCGCCTTAAAGCAAAGCGTCGCCTTAAAAACATAGGTAGTGTCATTACAACAAACTACAGAATTTAGTACATCTCTGGAATCGGGAGAAAGTCTCATAACCTAAAATGGGCTTCAGTCTCATTATTCATGGATGAACACTTCTATAGCATTGACGATTAGTATAATATTAAGTAACTGTCAGATAGTAGTGTCGCAGAACAAATGGTTGTTGTCTCTTTCCAATCAAACGTATGCGTAAATTGCTTGAGAGATACAGTTAGTTGCTTGCTCAACAACAAAAGGGAAACCATATAGCATAGAGTCAGTTGCTTTCTCTGAAACAAAAGGGAAACCAAAAAGAAATCCATCTCACAGCTTACTGCTTGAATAATCTTGAGAACATGAGGAGACTTTAGTGTGAAGGTCCTTCACAAGGGCCCACTGAAACATACAAAGATCATCAGCGCCATCTAGTACTGGCGCAAAACATTATCATGTGAAAGTACTCTAAAACCTACATGTTGCATTTCTTCAGTACAGTAATTGGTCCACTTTTATCATCAATTGTATCGAATTGGCCCTTCAGATCCGCTAAATTTTCCTCATTGACTGCACTTGCCAATGCTTGAATAGGCAATGTTGCACAAAGAAACCAAATGAGAGTACACAACAAAAGGACGGTGTGGTGTTTTTAGGAGAAAAGGCTCGATGCAAAGGTCATACTCATGGAGTAACAACAACAAGAAGGTTCTAGCAGTCCACTCCATGGAGTAACCACAATAATAACATCCACTGGAGAGTGGCTGCGTAGAGAGTGAGAGGCAAGCCTGAAAGTGTGTTGCCGAGCCACGGTGGTGTCCTTGCAAGGTTGTGGCTAGCATCCGTCTATTCAGACACTGCTTATTAATTGATGTACATATAATTAGATAAAAGAGAATACTGCTTAGGAACTATATTCATTCTATGAATGGCAGTGTGAATCTCTGTCATTAAAAAGGAACAACCTGAGATATTCCCATCCTTTGTCCCAGTTCCAAAGCTCTCTTGCCCATACATACCTGCAGATGTGGACAATATGCACATTTCTTTTGTTGTATTGTCCAGAACCAATTAAGCAGTCCCTAATGCTGGAAGGATTATAGGTGGCAATAAACCCTGGAGGTAACAACCTTTGTTGTGAAAGTACTTGCTTTATTCTCAGTGCGGAAGTGCTAAAAGTATGGAGAAAATCCTAGTATACCATGAGTTATTGGTTACTTATCAGACCGAAGAAAGCATTCACACATCCAAGATGTCTGTTAGACTGTTAACATAGAATCAATTCAGTTCAGATTACTCCTTTCTGTTGATATAATTAGATAAAAGAGAATACTGGTTATGAACTATATTCGTAATATGAATGACAGTGTGAATCTCTCCAGCAGAATTATTAAGCGAATATTGGTTAGGAAACAAGGTTAAAAGCGAACCTCGCATATGATAATATTGCTATTCTTCTTTTCTTCTTCTTCATTTCCATTTTTTTTATCAGTCCGTAAGCGGATGAACTGAACAACCAAATCAGATTTAAGCAGAAATAGAACAATAGAGGGGTTGGGTGTCATCCAGTTTTAAACATCAAAAAACGGAATTTGCAAAAACTGGAATTTACCTAGCGATATTGGATGTCGTCCAGCGGAGGAGATGGAGGAGCATGTCCTGATGTCCCAATGGAAACTCCTTGATCTCTCATGTCCTTCTACCAAACACATAAAAAGTCCTCAAATCATCTCCAATTGACATGTCAATCAACAGGTTCTTGGCTTTGCAAGTCCTGACCGTCACAAAAGAAAATTCAAAGAGAAAATAGAGGGGAACGTGAGTTGTAACCATTGACAGAAGACGCTTGGGAGGGCCAGTGCGGCACAGCGAGCCGGCGTCGCGCGTCGGCAACAGCAAGGGCGCGTCCACCAGCCACGAGAGCCGAACTGGTCAGGCCCCGGAGGGCAGCTCGTCGCTGGGCGGTCGAGCCATTGTGGTGGGTGGCGGGGGCCCATACGCGGGGACGGGGACTTCCTGCTCCCCCGATTAACTCCCATCCGTGGAGCGGCGGCGGAGGCGGAGGCTGCGGGAGGACTAGAGGGCGGAGGGGACGGGGGACGGAGCGGCGGCCTGAGTTCGACGCCGGGGAGGAGCAGAGGTTGCGCGGCGGCTGGCCCAAGGCCACGGGAGTAGAGGCGACAGAGAAGTGGGGAAAGGAGGGAGAGTTCAACATTCTGCCTTTTATATGTCTGCGTCAGAAAAGACGATAATGCCCTCGGTGGGGCCTGGGAATTACAGGCGGTGGCACGAGCCGGAGCGCAAGCAGTGTTTGCTATTGATCCAACGGCCAGGACCTCCCATCTCGCGATCCAACGGTCAGGATCTCCCCATCTCGCGATCCAACGGCCAGGATCAATTTGGAAGCGCAATCCAACGGCTGAAAATCCAAACGCACGGGAAGGCTCCATTTTGTTCCAGACTCTAACAATGGGATGCGGCGATTGAGTCTGTCTGCGGGGAGTTTGAAATGCAGGATGTGACCCCAGACAAGGACTTATGTGGATTCTAATACTGCTAGCTACCTTTGTAGTGCAGATTGGCACAGAAGGTAGGCCAGCCACCACACCAGGCGTAATTTTCATTGAGATTGTGATAAAGTTCCATGGGAGTTTGTATATGTTTAGTACACACTTGTCCTGATGGTAGCTGATGGGTACATGTAAAGGGTTTAACCTCATTATATAATGGTGAATAGACAATGAAAAATGAAGTTCTTTAAAAAAATTCAGTTTTCTTAGTCCGGTTGTTAAAGTATAATTTACATCGTTACAACTGACTGAGTGCCATATGTGGTTACATCTGCAATGTTGTGAAATATATGGAAAACTCTCAACGACTACACTTTGTCACCTGGTGTGGTCAGGAATGTGTCCCCTTATTATAAGATCTAGTGATTGCTGCAACAAATTCTGAACTCTACTCTGTTCTGAACATCGAAGAGTAACAAAGCTATTTCGACTGTGGCTGGAGCACCAGAAGCAAAACCTAACTGGGTAATCTCACAGAAAAACAAATACACAGTGCACTGATCATCATACTGAAATTGAATGCACTATGTTTTTCTGTTGTGATCTCTATCACTGATCATCATACAGAAAAACAAATACACAGTGCCAAAACAGTAGTGTTAAGCGACTGTTTGCTCGCGGGGCTCCATATCTTGCTAGAGCTATATCTATCTCGCCTCTTACGAGATGTAGCTCTGGCTTTCCTACATCGCGCAGCTAATGGGCCGTTTCAGTAACGGATGTACACCTTCGATTTTCTGTTCGTTTCTTTCGGTCTGCTTCTTCAGTTTTCTTGGTTTTCGACCGTTTTTGTGCGTTTTCTCACTGGGTTTCTTTGTTTTCTTATGGTTTTTTATTTGCGTTTCTTCATCATTTTTTTGGCTTTCTTTGTTTTTCGTGGTTTTTCACCGGTTTTCTTTGTTTTTTTCTTTTTTCTTTCAACACATGTCTACTTCACATTATACATTTTTCATCTACACATGGAACATTTTTGGATACATGTTGAACATTTTTCAAATACATGATGTACATTTTGTTAACTATATATTTTGAGAATATTTTTTATACATGTTCAACATTTTTCAGAAACATGTTGAGCATTTTTTTTAGTTGGGACGAAACATTTTTGTTAAACCATGTAATTTTTTTACATTGTATAAACATTTTTTACAATATTACGAACAATTTTAAAACCAGAATCTTTATATAAAACGTCATGAACAATTTTTAAATGGTATGAAACTTTGTTTATTCCTCGCAAACATTTTTTTACATCGTATAAATGTTTTCTAAAAATGTCACGCACATACTTTCCAAATACATGATTTTTTTTCACTGTCATGTA